CCCCTCTTCACCACCTCTACGGGGTGGCTTAGCCCCAAAACCAGCTGGCTCGGGGCGCTCCAGCGGTGAGCACAGATCAAAGCCTCGCAGAGATGAGGTTTTGGTCTGTTGCTGAGGAAGCTCAAACTGGAAGTCCCCCAGAAGTATAAATCTTGAAGAAGTAACTTGGGCAATAAATAAACAAAAAAATAACAAGGTGGTTGGCCAGGATGCACACCCTGCTGAATTATACAAAACTCAACAAGAAATATTTGGTGACAGATTACTTAAATTATTTAATGAAGTCCTGGATAAGGCAAAGATTCTGGAATCATGAAAGGAAGCAGCGATTACGATTATTCCAAAAGAAAAAAAAAGATCAAAGATAGGAAATTATAGGCCAATATCTCTATTAAATGTGGACTATAAAATTTTTGTAACTATAATAGCTGAAAGATTCAAGAAAATACTAAATAAATTTATACACACAGACCAAAATGGCTTCCTTCCACATAGACATCTTAGCAATAATATTAGGACAATTTTAGACATCATAGAGTATTATGAAGAGTGTAGTGGAGAACAGGTAGCATTATTATTCCTGGATGCTAAAAAGGCCTTTGATAATGTGAAATGGAGTTTCATTCTGCAACAAATTAAGTGTATGGATTTTGGGCAAAAATTCCTAAATGTAGTATCAGCAATATATAATAAACAACAAGCTAGGATATTGATAAATGACCATACAACAAATAAATTTGAGATACATAAAGGAACAAGGCAGGGATGTCCATTATCACCTTTATTATTTATTTTGACTTTGGAAGCACTAACAAGAATAATTAGGAAAGAACCGGAAACAAAAGGACTAAAAATAAAGAAAGAAGAATATAAATTACAAGCCTTCGCTGATGATTTGGTTTTTATTTTAGAAGATCTGCAAAATTCAGGACCAAAATTGATAGAGCAATTAGAGGAATTTGGCGAAGTAGCAGAGCTAAAAATTAACAAGGAAAAAACTAAAATACTTACCAAAAATATGACAAATGTACAAAAAGAAAATTTAACAATAATAATGGACATCCAGACAACAAATAAAATTAAATATTTGGGAATTGTAATTTTGGCAAAATGTATAACCCTCAAAGAGGACAATTATACCCCACTAATCAAAAAAATAACTGAAGATCTTAGGACATGGAGCAATCTAAGACTTTCCCTTATGGGGAGAATTGCATCTACAAAAATGAACGTATTACCAAAATTATTGTTTTTATTCCAAAACACTCCGGTAAAATTAGGGGAAAACTTTTTTGATCAATTGGATAAGCTAGTATCAAATTTTATATGCAGGGAAAAAAGCCCAGAATTAGACTGAAATTGTTGCAGGACGCTACTGAAAGAGGACTTGGCCTACTGAACTGGGAAATATATTACAGAGTGGCCACTCTGACCTGCGTTAAAGATTGGATAAGTGTTAAAAATAAAAGAATATTAACATTAGAAGGATATAATCTACAGGCAGGGTGGCATGCCTTTTTGTGGCAGGACAAACATCAAATCCATGGCTATTTTCAAAGACATAAAATTAGGTAGACCTTATTAAACGCATGGATTAAAACTAAATGCCAATTCTACGTTGAAATACCAATTTGGCTATCTACATCAGAAGCGTTAATGTACCCACATTTATTTCGATGAGGACAGGTCATTACATATGAGGACATATTAGATGAGAAGGGTGAGTTAAAAACAAGACAGGAGTTGAAGGATTTGGGATTTGAGATAGAATGGTGGGCCTATTTACAATTACAGTCGAAGTACAGTAAAGATATGAAACAATGGGGTATTAGTAGATGGAAAACAGAATTAGATAAAATATTATTAGGGATGGATGAGAAACTGATTAAAATTTTTTACAAAGTATCATTGGAATGTAAATTGGAAGAAGAAAAGGTGAAAGAAACAATGCTGGCCTGGATGAAAGATTTTGGATATGGTATAAATTTGGAAGATTGGCAAATTTTATGGGACAGGAATAGGAAAATTACTTTGGCGGCATCCTATAAAGAAAATTTACATAAAATGTTTTACCGATGGCATATCCCACCATCAAAATTAGCAAAAATGTACCCCAAATTATCCCCTAAATGCTGGAAATGCAACAAAGAAATCAGAACATACTACCATGTATGGTGGAAATGTGAAAAAGTCCAAATATATTGGATGAGAATTAGAAACTGGTTAGAAGAGATGTGTAAAATTAAAAGAGTTTAGACCTGAATATTTTTTTATTGGGAATCAATGTTGGAAAATATAATGAGATAATATACCTAATAGTTCATGTCACCACTGCCATGAGACTAGCTCTTGCCCAAAGATGGAAAGGAAACGATATGCCAGAAGAGATGGAAATAATTAGAAAAATTTGGTCGTGCACTGAAATGGATAGAGTAACTCAAGAATTAAAATATCTGAATCTGATTATTATACAATTTGGGAGAAGTTTTACCACTGGTTTAAAAGGAGTAATTGTAACAAAGATGATTAATATTTATGTACATATGTAAATTTGTATTTTTTGTTATGTATGCACCATGTTCATTGTTTTTAATGTTTTTTGTTTGTTTGTTGTCCATTAAAATTTATTTTAAAAAAAGAAAAAAGAAGAAGAGATAACATGGAGGAAGAGAAAGTCTGTATAGTAAAGTGCTGCTTTGCATGTGGATCTTCTCAGCATATCCAGAGAAATTGTCTAGTAAGAAGATTAAAAACTACAAGCAGGTGAAAGCACAACAACTGAAAAAAGAAGAGACACAAACCAGCAACCAGCAAAACACTAAAGACATTTGTTTGTTTGACAGTGGGACAAGTGAGAATTTTGTAAATAACCCAAAACTTTTTTCCACGCTAGGGCCAGCTTATTTTGCACTCCAGCTATCTCTACACTCCCTCTCCCTGGCAGTGAAAAGAGAGAGAAAAGCTACAAAAAGAAAATGGCCACAGTTCGGCCAACTTCAGTGTTGAAATACAATTTGCTGGGTGTATCTCATTTAGATAATGCAGGGTATAAGGTAATTTTTGCAAAGGGTGCACGCACATATGTAAAGTTACTGGCTTCATAAAGAATAACAAGGTGCGTACACCAAGTTTGAAACTGAACAATTTATATTTTGAACCACAAGGAAACTGGTGGCAGTGTACGATCTTTTCAAATGAACAGAAGCCTAAGGCTGGGTCATGCAAGTTTTAAAACATTGCAGAAGATGCCTTATCTGGTTGTGGGTTTGATTGTAAGAGATTGTGACAACGATTTGATTGTGCCATTTGTAAAGAGGCAAAACCAAAGATATACCATCAGCAGAGGAAGTGATGGGAAATCTGAGAGGATTTTTTCAGTTAGTACAAGCTGATTTAATTGGCTCTCTATCTCCATCATGATGCTTCTCCCTAGTGCTTGAGAAAACTCCTTCGAATCCCTTCGACTGCAAGGCGATCAAACTGGTCCAGATGATGGTAGAGGGCAGGAAAGCCTGGAGGAATGTTGTCCATGGGGTTGAGGTGGGTCAGACACGACTTCGCAACTAACAATAACAATCAAGAAACCTGTAATGACTAATTCATTAAATTACCAGGCATTGAGTGCCACTCCAAAGATACTTGAGTTGACTTTCTCTCCAGCATAATTGATGTCCTTCTTAACTTGCTTGTTGCGCTGGGAGGTTCCCACCATCAGGCAGCAAGCAGTGAAAAACATGGTTCGTTAGTCCCGTCTCATTCCTTCGTATTCCATCTAGCCCAAGAAGTCCTTAAGTGGGACTCAACCATGAGGGTCTGGTTACTGCTTGCAACCTGGGTCACCTATATGTGTCTAGCTTTGACCTAATGGGGATTTCTTGTATGCAAAGTCACAGAAGCACAAGGCATTTAGCATGGGTGTGCTTGGAAGCATCTCTGGCCAGCACAAATGAAGTTGGATCCCTTTGAGCCTCTGACCCACTGACCCTCCTAGGACGGTCTTAAATTCTTTGGAGCCACAGAAAATCAATCTTAAATGTTTAGAATGTACAAAAGGTTTTTATCTCCACTGAGTCACCCCTAAGAAAGTGCAGGGATCTATATGTACACCAGCTTTTTGCAAAGTAGTGCCCTCTAAGTCTTTTGCCCAAGCTGTTTGGGAATATTAAGGCTAAATCTAACTCCTGTAGAGACTGGGAAGAGATATAATTTATTAAATATAATTTTACTATTTTAAAGTTTAATTTTTTGCACATTAAATTCAAAGTAACTTGGAGCTTGAGACTCAACCCAAGAGCTTATTGGTTTACCTTGCCTGGTCCACATTGTTGGGTGTCTTTCTACAAAGGGATCACATGCAACGTGACCTACTAAAAAAAATGTAACCAGACTTTTTGAATTGTGTTTGTAAAACATGCAATCTTTGAATTCTTTGGTGTCTTCTAATCCAAGCAAAATCAGGATCAGTCACCTGCATAGCTAAAATATCACTTCTGCTGCTACGAAGAATGTTCCTCTTTTTATTTGAAGGCACTTTTGAAAAACATTAAGGAGCCTTGGGATAGAATTGAAAGAACAGGATACATCTCACAGGTGTTGGGAAGAGAGGTTTTCATGACCTAGACCTGATGTTTACAGAAATGCTGACAGTTTCTTTTTTTTCTTTCTCAAAAGTTATTATTTTTATGCAATGCTATTTTAGAAATAAAACATTATCTACTGTACCATCTGCTTTCTCCTTATATGAGGAGCCACAATCTCTAACTAGTCCGAGTGCTCCTATCCTGAAGACATGCTGCCTGGGGAATTCTGGGGAGGAAAAGTTCAAGGACACACAGGTAGGGGGGAGCTGGGACTGTGCACATGGCATGATAAAAATGCAAAGAACGCTCCCAGAAAGATTTTTTACTGAATTGCACAATTTCTGCAAAAATAAATATCCAGCAACTTCTACTATTGATGGCCAGACAGCCATTATCAAACTAATATGTTCCATTTTTAAATTTCCTCCTTCCCGTCTAATACCATGACATATTTGACTTCAAGAAATTGGGCAAATTCTTTGTAGTCAAATTAGTCAATTTCTCAGCTGAACTTACAATGGGACATTAGAAATGGAATTCAACCCTTCTCTATACTCATCACTTTTGGCTTCAGGTGGATTTTCTTGTGTGCAATTAGGGTGGACTGTTTCCTGAAGCACCGTTCACAGTTGGGGCACTTAAATGGTTTCTCCCCTATGTGTATAAGCACATGATTTATAAGGTTAGACCTAATACTGAAATCTTTCCCACAGTCTGGACACTCGTATGGTTTCTCTCCTGTGTGAGTCCTCTGGTGTCTCACCAGGCTGGAACTCTGACTGAAATTTTTCCCACACTCAGGACATTCAAAAGGTTTCACTCCTGTATGAGTCCTCTGGTGTGCAACAAGGTGGGAACTGTGACTGAAACTTTTCCCACAATCAGGACATTCAAAGTGTTTTTCTCCTGTCTGAGTCCTCTGGTGTTTCATCAGGCTGGAATTCTGACTGAAACTTTTCCTACAATCAGGATATTCAAAGGGTTTATTTCCTGTGTGAATCCTCTGGTGTCTCATGAGGTGTGAATTTGTAATGAAACTTTTCCCACAATCTGGACATTCAAAGGGTTTTTCTCCTGTGTGAGTCCTCTGGTGTCTCATGAGGTGGGAATTCTGACCGAAACTTTTCCCACAATCAAGACATTCATAGGGCTTGTCTCCTGTGTGAGTCCTCTGGTGCCTCCTGAGGTGGGAATTTCTAATGAAACTTTTCCCACAATCAGGACATTCAAAGGGTTTCTCTCCTGTGTGTGTTCTCTGATGGTTCATCAGGCTAGATTTCTGCCTGAAACCTTTCCCACAGATAGGACATTCAAAGGGTTTCTCTCCTGTGTGATTCCTCTGGTGTTGTACAAGATGGGAATTCTGACTGAAAGATTTCTTACAATCACAACATTCAAAGGGTTTCTCTCCTATGTGAATCTTCTGGTGTATCAGTGGGTTGGAATTGTAACTCAAGCTTTTCCCGGAGTCAGGACATCAAAAGGTTTCTCCCCAGTGTGAGTTCTCTGTTGTTTCACAAGATTGGAATTGTGACTGAAACCTTTCTCACAATCAGGATATTCAAATGTTTTCTCAAAGAGTCCTGTGGTGTTTCACCAGGCTGAAATTCTGACTGAAACTTTTCCCACAATCTGGACACTCATATGGTTTTTCCCTGGTGTGAGTCCTCTGATGTATCACCAATTTGCCATGCTCACTAAAGAATTTACCACATTGGGAGCACTTGTAGGGCTGCTCTAGCCTTCCATGAACCATAACAGAGCTGTTTTGACCAAATGGTTTGTCATAGTCAGAGTGTTTGTATGGTTTTTCTCCAGTGTGAATCCTCTTATGCATAATCAGCTGTGATTTGCAGTTTTTCTCTTTCCTACAGTAGGCACGTCTATGAAACTTTTCCACAACTGATATTCCTGAGGAGGTCAAAAATATGGACGGTCCCTTGTTTAGTGGTGTTTTGTTTCACGCTGTTTTTTTTCCTCCCAGGGCAAGGACTGCAACACTGCATGGCAATTGACCTTTTCCTCCCCACTGACTTCCAGAGATATATCCCTTTTTTCTGAATGAAAAATAATCTCCCTTGACTTTTTATGTAAAGTTGCTTGTTATTCTCAGTTGTCCAGAGTGCTCTTATTGCCATCCTCTTTGTCTAGGATACAAAGAAAAGTGTAATGTCATTTATAAAATGGTTACAGAAGATATAAGAAAAAATTACAACAAAAAAGCAAAAATGCTACAATGCTAGAATTACCTCTTACATTAATCTTGATTAATTTGATACATGGAAGACTACCAAGATCAAAGTTCAAATATGCATTCAATCATGGAATTCTCTGGTTGATTTGGGTCAATCACAAATTCTTAGAAATGCAAAGTGTTATCACCAAATATATCTGGAAGTGTTGGGAACAATTATATAATTGCAGACATATGCATACAGAAATTAAATACAGAAACACCCATCTACATATGTGTTGTGGCTCTGAGGTTTGAGCCTGCTTTGTTAGAGGACGAAGACCCGGATAATGAGGAAGAGGAGGGTTTAGCTCTGAGGTTTGAGCCTGCTTTGTTAGAGGATAAAGACTCGGACAATGAGGAAGAGGAGGATTTGGAGTTGCCTTCCTCCCCAGGACTTTCCTCTTCGGCAAGGCCTTCCTCCCTGATTGTGCCTCAGGTGTCGGCAAATAACCAGGAAGGCGTATCAGAGTCTCTGACTGAGGGTCAAGCTGAGGAATGCTGGATTGATGCGAGGCAGCGTCGTAGGCAAAAGTGCAAGCTGCAACGTAGAAAGAAGGGACGAATCAGAGACTGAGCTGAGGGACTGACACGCTCCACAAGGAATAAAAGTGGGTGTGTTCGCTCTAGGAAGTTTGTTCGGGACAATGTGTTAATTATTCAGAGGAGCTCCGGAGTATCGTGTCTGATTTATATTCCTGCTTTCTTGTTGGACTTGGCAGACAGCGTGTGTGTGAGACTGCCAAGAACTTTATCAGCTCAAGGACTTTAACTCTATAATTACTGGACTTGCTTGCTTGTTTGTATTCAGTTGGAAGTTGGACTTCTCACCTCTTTTGTACAGGTGAGACATAACACATATGTATACATGGAGAAAATCTGTGTCTTTCATGCATGACAAAATGTCCCAAAATCATTATAGTCAAACCTTTTGAGCTACTTTAGACATGTGGAGGCTTTAACTGATGAAATGATGCCTGAAGTCTCTTTCAATTTCCTGCCAGTATACCCACTGATTTTGTTTGTCAGAAGCCAGCTGGGAAGGTCACAAATTGGGAATATGAGTGTGGGATGCTGCGGCCATCATAAATGTGCACCCAGTCAGAACTCAAATTGGTGCAACTCCTTTTCTTGGACCTTTGTAATCACAGGAACTGCTGATGTGTGGTCACTGAACGAGTGCTACAATGACCGCGAATTTATGTGGCAAGGTGTAAGTCTGCTTTTACACTGCCATTACAACTTTGGAGGCTCGGGGAAGAAATGGTAAACGAGGACTACCTATACAACTGTACATCCCAAAGGTCCACAATAGCTATTTTGCATGTCACATGCTAGCTGGGAAGGTCACAAATGGGATCATGAGTGTGGGGTGCTGAACCCATCATATATTTACACCAGTGTGTAGTACCCAAATTGGTGCATCTCCTTTTTCTGCATCTTCATACCCACAGGGACTGCTGACTTGTGGTCAGCAGCACCAAGGAACTACTGGTGGAATGGAAAAGAGCTGATGTAGTTCCCATATTCAAAAAAACTGAGGGGAAACGGATCTACAAAACTACAGACCAATCAGCTACTTTAGTGGAAAAAAGAACTAGGGATGACATAATAGCAGTGCTCCAATACTTGAGGATTTGCCACAAAGAAGCGAGGAAGGCAAGACAAGAAGCAATGGATGGAAACTAATCAAGGAGAGAAGCAACCTAGAACTAAGGAGAGCAGGGAGGACAACTGACCACCTTTCAGAAGTTGTGGGTGCTGCATCACTGGAAGCTTTTAAGAAAAGGCTGAACAGCCATTTGTCTGAAGTGGTTCTGGGTCTCCTGCTTGAGCAGGGCGGAGGAACAGAAGACCTGCCAGGTTCCTTCCATCTTGTTACAAACCTCCAGTGACGGAGCCCCCACAACCTCTGGAGGGGAGCCATTCCCAAAGGATCCACCTTCACTTGAAAGAGGCTTTTTAGATCTTCTCCCCAGCAGAAAATTGCAGCCACCAGTTTCACAGCGTGCAGCCCCAGCGGGCTCCGATCTGGGGAGGGAAGGAACCTGCAGCTGACACGCTTCAGCCCAGTTGCTTCTCTGCTTCCAGGCCGCGGAGGGAACCGAACAGCCCGACTTGTTCCCGGACTCTCCTCCCACCTGCTGCCCCCAACTCACCTCCCAGCTGCTGCTTCCATCCTAGGAAGAGCACAGAAGCCGCTCTGCACACCACCTTCCGCCCATGAGTGACCCGGAAGAGGAAATTCCTCTGTCCTCCCATCCTTTGTAAGCAATGCAGTACTCTATAGTTTTAACTCCTTAAACTCAACCACATGAACCCCTATTATATTTTGGGGTTTTCAGGCACAGATGCTGCCGACCTGATCACCGTCTCCTGATAGTGACCGAAAAACACATTTGTTTGCCCCATATCTACCTGAGGCACTTGCAAGATATTTTCACTGATTAAATCCCATCAAGTCACTTTTGATCTCTAGGTGCTGACTTTTGAGCTGAAGTGAAACAGTGAAATGTGAGGCTATTTAATAGCTTGTGAAGATTAGCTACGTGTTGAGCCCTGAAGGTTTTACAGAATTACAGAACAAGCTTTCCCAGGGGTGACTCTCAGCGGAGATCAATGCCTCTCTACATGTCAAATCTTTATGATTAATTTAATGTGGCTCCCAAAGATTTAGGACATTGCAGCAGTATCAGGCCAGATGCTCCAGGGGAGCCAGCTTGTTAAAATATTTAAATTAATAGCTGTGAAGGGTTAGAATATACAGTTATAACTGACTGGTTGAAGAGAGCTGGCCACTGCATGAGGGATCTAAGATGAGATTGGTTGCTGTGAGCGTAAAGAGGGACTTTCCTTGTTTCCCGCCTTTTTTCCCTGTGTATATATTGTCTAATTCAGTGGTCCCCAACCACCGAATTAGACTCTAATTTACCTCATGATGTTCCTGCTGTATTAATTTTAATTTACCTGATGATGCTCCTATCTAGGTTATATCTAGTTGTAATATATAACTAGGTTTGCAAAAGTATGTTTTGGGGAGTTATCCTACTCTCCCACTTCTCTGCAGTTTCCTTGGCAAGGTTTTTGGAAGTGGATTCAGGGGTGGGATTCAAATTTTTAACAACTGGTACTGTGGGCGTGGCTTAAGCCGTGGGCATGGCTTGGTGGTCATGTGACTGGGTGGGCGTGGCTTGGTGGTCATGTTATTGGCTGGGCGTGGCCAACTCAACATCACTCACATCGAGGCACGCATCTCCTCGCCTGGCCTCTCATGACTGTGGGGATACTGCAACAGTCGTAAGTGTGAAAAATGGTCATAAGTCACTTTTTTCAGTGCCATTGTAACTTTGAATGGTCACTCCACACAAGCAAAGTACCAGCAAAGGAGGGGAAAATAAACTCCAGAGAAGTTCCTGAGACAGGAAGTCCAGTCCTGCCAAGAATGCGATAAGGGTTAACGGAGAGGCAGTTTCTGTAAGCAACACCAGAATGTTTCCTTCCTGCCTTCCTTACAGGATTAGGCCAGTAATTTCTTCTAACAAGCGGTTCTCCAAACTGCTTAGAATGTTAACAACAGGTTCTAGCAAATAGGTGCAAACTGGTAGAATCCCACTCCTGAGTGGATTCCCACTTTCCTAGGCCTGAGAGAAGGGACAAGCTCTGGCCCTAGCCTGGTGACCACCAGACTGGGCCTTCTTCCTCCCTCAAAATCACTCCAGCCGTTCCTGCTACTCCAGCCCCAAATTCAAGGATATAGCTTTCAAGATTCAGTATCCTCCAAATAACACATACTTTACACCTTTCAATCTGAGCTTCAAACTTTCATTCTGAGGGAAAGGACTGTTCCTCTGGCTGGGAAATTATGCCTTTGGACCTTGTCCTGTAGACCACCCCGACTCTTAGGTTGGCTTTATTTAATTTTGCTTGGTGTTTTTATATAGCCCTGTGAGAGATTCAGAGGCTTTGGGATCATTGCAAGCATTTCCAACTCCTAACCATAAGATGAGATATGATAAAGATTTGCACTAAAATATGACACCAAGGAAATAGAAAAAGGAAAAAATGATTAAATATAATTTTACTATTTTAAAGTTTAAATTTTTTGCACATTAAATTCAAAGTAACTTGGAGCTTGAGACTCAACCATGAGCTTATTGGTTTTCCTTGCCTGGTCCACGTTGTTGGGTGTCCTTCTGCAAAGGGATCACATGCAAGGTGACCTACTTAAAAAAATTGTAACCTGT